CCAGTTGTTTCCAGATCTACTAAGGTAGAATGACTGGTTATTGTTCCTTCATCTTCAGTTTTCTTTTATCATCATCTGACTGGTTTATGAAATTTATAATTTCAGGTTCCTTCCATCCTTTGTTTCTTTGCTCCTTGTCTATTCCCTGACTGGTTTATGAAATTTTTATAGTTTCAGGGTATTTCAAAGGAGGTTACAGTTACTGGCAGTTTGAAAAACATGACTCTTAACATCAGGTCTGGTTTTATTCTTGAGCACCTCCCTCTCTATCCAACACACACATGCACAATGTGGTGGACACAGAAGTGATTAACTTTTATATTTTTGAGTTGCCAGGAAGAGTCTGTAATGGTAATGCTCCAGAGATACAAAACATTTCCACCACCTTATAAATAGCTAATGTATTTTTTATGCTTGTATTGAATAGAATCTGATTTTTCAGCAGGTTGAAAATTACCAGGTCTAAAGACCTTCCTGACCAAGGTAAATGTAAATCAAATCAGAGCATTGGAGTTTTGGGGCACAACAATCTTGACAAAGAAGGGAAAGGGCAGAAGGTGAGCTTCAACTAGAGAAATATGGAAGAATCTTTAGGCAATCAAATTTCTTATTGCTTGGAGAAATTCAAATTTAGGATTCAAATCAGTGTACATTTCTGTACTTGGTGAATTTCTCAAGAAACAGTAGATAAATCTATAGTTCATTTCAGGTGTGGTTAATCTTGGGAACTTGCACAAATTTGAAGAACTTTATGTTGCTCTAATGTAACCCTTAAACAGGCCTTTTCCCATATGTTTTTAAATCTTGTAAGCATTTTGTGGAACTTTTTCAGGGAAAGGACAACAACGATGCCAGAATTAAAAGAGAACCAAAAATTCTGACAAGGAGTCACAAAGCACCAATTCCAAAGATGGATCACAAGGTTAGATATTAGTTTAATGCTCATGGTATTTGCTTAGAGTTGGGTTTAAGACCATAGACAAATTCTAGCTTAAGTAGTATCATTTGGTTTTAGTAGTAGTTGTGTTTTGGTTGTTTAATTACATTTAAATAATATGAAAGCATTGTGATTTGCAATTTCAGATTTCACCATGGCAGTCCACAGACCTAAAGCATGCTCAAAGGAAACAGAGGTATGACATCTCTATCTCACTTATGGTTGAATTATATAATACAACACACTGAGGTTTCATCTTAAGTACACCCTCCCACAGTTTCAAATATAAACTTTTTCCCTCTAATACTGTAACCCCTGGCATTTCCATTTTAGTGGTAAGCATGAACTTCAGTCTATGGAATTTGCAAAACCGAGTCTATTTTTCTCTGTACATTGTTCTTTTATTGCATTTGGTGCATGGTGCCACTGTCCCCTTTAACAGTTTTTCTGTGAGAAATTTGTTTCACAGTTTAAAAATATTGGTTGTATGGCAGTCATTCTATCAAATCATGTTCTTGGATTTTCATTTGGACTAATAATACAAAGTTATACAGGGAGAGGAAGCCAGTCTGGCGATGAAAGCAAAACAGATGATAAAGATGGAATCTATCTTCAGCAAATATGCTGAAACGGTCAAAGAGCAGCCATGCAGAATGCTCACGGACATCGGAAAGTTGGCATTTGGCGGCCATTCCAACAGGTGCACAACATAGGATCCAACATCCAAGAGTTTAAGCGGTTGAAACACAGATTATGCTCTCTTTGAATTGTGAATACTGAGAACCAGTGTAAACAAGACATCACTATGTTACAGAAACTAGTTTAGGAATGCAAAATTATGTTCATTTTCAATCCCTTCACAAGACCAATTCGTCAAGCAAATTCTGGGTTAAGATAAACAGGGAACCTGTTTAACCATTCTACAATATTCTTACCCCCCCGGCCCCCCAAAAAAAAAAGGGGTCAGATCGTATAACGGGCCATACCATTAGCATGCATAACATTTCATGTTGGGCCAAATACTTTTACAGTAGAACACAGCCCAAAATGAACTAGTCTGAGTAGGGGAGAGGATCATACCTGTACTTTACCTGATTAGTAACAGGTACAAGATTTTAATACTCAATATTTATTTGAGTATTAAAAATTTATATATATTATTTAATTTATTGAGTACAGATATATCTATAAGTAGATTTATATATTTATTAAATTTTATATTGAAAATATATAAATTAATATATAACTACAAGTTTATATGTATAATAAAAGTTTATATATAAAATAAAATACATGAATATATATACCCACACATACATAAGTTTATATACAATACAAAAGAAACACAAGTAAAAATCTATATGATTTTCCTTTAGTTGAATTTTCATTGCCAGAAAAAAAAAATAATTTCATAATATTATATTACAAATTAAGTATATAAAATTAAAATATATACAGGTCTTAAATATACAAGTCAGGTATATGAGTTAAATATATAAATCAGATATGTAGGTATTGACTTTCATTCCCAATACTTAACCGATACTTAACTGGTATGTATTTTTTATACTTAACATTTAATTGTCTCTTCACATATATACAGGTAAAATACCAATTCAAATAACTAGGTATCTATAAATATCAAATATACTCATACCCGATGCTCTGGTTCTTCAACCAATTTCGGGCCATGGTCAAGTGTGCTAGATTCTCTGCAATCTGTAGACTGCACTGCGGATCTGTGGTAAAATGGGCTACAAGGGGCCCAAACTGACCACGGACGCATTTTGATTTGGGCTTTTATGAGCCTTCTTCGTTTGCAGATATCGTATATCTTTTTTCCATTTTTTTCTCATGCCAAAGAAAGCGTGTAGGAGAACTGTGTGTGGCTTAAATAATTACTGTTTGAGTTTTCATTGACATCATTAGAGTTTGATTCCTCTTGCCCCATTCCCCCTCCCCCTACCTCCAATTCCCCTAGTGCCAAAGAAAAAAAAAAAAAAAAACGTATAGGCAAAAGTCTTTTGTATTTTGGTATGGATTTTAATTGCAAAGAATTCACTCTAGGTTCTTTTGGCCTTTGGCTTAAAGGTGGACTAAAATTAAAATGCTAAAAATCCAATATTGCTATGTATTAATTTAAAAGGAATTTCCAAAATCCTAATTCTTTTTATTTTTCTATTATGTATATTGAGATAAAACCAGTGAATTAAGTAAAAAATTAATTGTGGTTCTGGTCATGATTATACTTGAGATTTTCCATATAAGCTCCTAATTAATGAGCCATGAAAAGAAATTTTTCTATACATATATATATATATGTATATCTTCTTGAGAAATTATTTTTATCTAATCTTTTTGTTTTATTTTTTTTTGTACAGTTTAACGTATCATTAAAATGATTAATTTTTTTAATTCATGTAAAATTATAATGTTAAATGCATCAATTTATTTAATAATATATGAAAATTGTATAAAAATTTGATATAAAAAAATTATTCCTATAGTACCACTTATTTTCTTTGTTCCTCGAAATCATGAGACAATTGAATTTGGAAAGAAAATAAAAAGTAAAAAGAAAGAAATCTTAATAAAATATAATTTAGGGACATTGATCCTATCCCTCGCTACAACTCACTAGACAGAATATTCTATTTAGTTTTTGCAATCCATAGAATATGCCATTGAATATGGAAATTCCAAATCGAATTTTACCTTCTGTCTTTGGAACTTTCTTTTTCAAGAAAATAAAGACCCCTTTTCACCGTTCCATTAAGCATCCATCCCACCAATTTTTTGTTATATATACAAAGCCCTAACACTATACTCCGATGTAGTAAATTAACAGTAATTATTGCCCATCAAAAAAATTAAGAGCAAAAATGGAGGGAAAGAGAAATGATGAGCATCAGATGAAGAAGACAGAGGACAAGGAGACGTCCTCACAACATCGATCTGGGTTTCACAAAAACTCAATTGAGCTCATTACTCCATGTGGTGCAGATGATGACAAAATTACCTTAGAATCCCTAGGGAACGACCATGTGCACCCTCTGGTGGAGACCCAACCCCAAGCTAACACTCCTAACCTCGCCAATCAGCGTACTGACGAGTTGCTCCGCCAACTAATGGGGGAGCAAGAGAGTGGAAGCATTAATATTGATCAAATTGCCACAGAGGGGATAGGATGGTGGACAAGACAAATGGAGAAGATGAATCAAGAGGAGTTCCAACGATTCTGTGCAACGTTGGGAATTCTCCGAGAGAGGGTGCAGGGTCACTTACAACAACGACTCAGAATTAGGGACTCTAATTCTGCAGAAACGAGCACCTCTACCTCTAGTACAAGTACTAATGGTAGAGGTAGGCGCAGAAAACGTTAATCAGATATAATTTTCTTCTGGCATTTTAAATAAAATATTGTAATTTTGCTTTTGTTAAAATGATTTAAAAGTTTATAATTTTCAATTATTGATTAAAAATGATTTTTTTATTATAAAAGGAGAAGGATTGCGAGCGTTAAAAAAAATCCTAAAGTCAGACAAAAAATTTAAATCAAACTATTTATTTTTCAGGCTTCAAGGCAAATGACTTAGTAAAATATATCACAAGTTCAAACTTGAATTAAATAAAAATTTTCTTTTTCAACCAAAAGTATAATCTAAAACAAATATATACGTCAAAAAACCATCTTAAGAATATGAACTCAATTGAGAAGTTAGATGAACCATAATCGGCTTATTCAGTGTTGAAGGAGAACGGTGAAGAGATCATAAGTTCCTAACATGGGCACCACATGGGGTAACGAGTTCACTGAGATTTTGTAAACCCCACAAGTTACAAGTAAAATCTACATGTTGCTTTAGAGTGTGCAAGAGGGGACAGTTTTGTAATTGAAATGATAGTAACATTGTGTAAACCTATACCATTATTGTTTTCGATTCAAAAAAAGTTCTTATATACATCCTATCTTTAAAACCCCACATCTCGAAGCAATGTGGGATCTAATGTTTGCAATGCCTGCAACAACTCTCTCGTTATCATCTCCCAAGCGGATGTAGGTTGTTATTTGTTAAGGCACAAGTCACACTAGTCACAACTCAAGTCTCAACACAACTCTCATGTATTTTATTTTATTTTATTTTATTTTTTTAGAAAGAGTACCTGATTGTATTTATTAGCTTGGTACTAATTGAGGTACAGAACGAACTGGTGCCAGTCTAGGCCCAATATGAGGAATTTTTGTAGTAACAAACTTTTTTCCTTTTTCTTGTATTTATTATAAAGAGTTCTTTGTTTTTGTAATTTACATTATATTATATTGTAAAAAAATTATTAAATATAAAATAATTCTCATTATCAAGAATTTTACCCTCGTCTAATAATTTAAATCATCACAAGACTGCATCACATTTTTTTTAATTACAAATGCTGTTTGTTTTCAAAATAATGCTACGTTTACCCTCTTCCATTATATACCCTTCATTACACACAACCACCTCCATTACTTTGTTGTTAATGCCCAAACGCACTCGAACATCTCCAATCATTTCCCTATTTTCTCAAATGATCCATTGTTGCCATGATGCTTTCCCATTTCTCGTGGGTCGTTAGACAGCAGGATATCTGAGGAAGAAGATTGTGCAATACCAAGAGCAGAGACAGAGCAATCATCAATTGAAACAGTGGACAGAGAAGCATCAAATTTGTAAAAATGCTTTGGATTCTTTTTTTTTTTTTAAATCAAAATTAAAAGAAAAAAACTTTCTTGGACAAGTAGTATGATGAAGAGCAAACGAATGTCATAATTATCTTCTAAATTTTGGCATTTAGTACAGGAAATTACATGAATATAATTTTTTGAGAAACTTCTATAACCAATTATATCGTTTCTATAATACTAAAAGTTTTACTGCAATACACAAGATATCTTTTCTTTAATGTTAGCAGTAAAGTATCTAATTAAATCAAAACAAAAAAAATTAATGAATCCGTTTGAAAAAAATATTCTCCATAAAAAATATAAGTAACTGGTGAATTACATTAGATCTATAGAAATACATATCTCATGTCTTAACCAAAAATGGAAAGTGCCAATGGGTTTTCTAATTTTCTGCTCTTTTTTTTCTCCAAACTCTTATTTGTTTGTCAACATGATCTTGAGACAATTTAATTTGGAATGTAAATCAAAATAGAAAGGAAGAAAATTAATCTTACACAAAATATAATTTTCAGGGACATTCATCGCCTCTTGTTACAACTCATTGAACAGAATATTCTATTTTATTTTTACATTTCACAGAATATGCCATTGAATATGGAAATTACAAATCAAATTTTACCTTTTATTTTTAGAACTTTCGTTTTCAAGAAAATGCAGACCCCTTGCATCTTTCTAGTAACAATCCAGCCCACCAATTTTTTCTTGTATATACAAGCCTTAGCGCTCAACTTTGAGGTAGTAAATTAAGAACAAATATTGCCCAGCTATTAGAAACATTTTAGAACAATAATGGAGGGAAGGAAATGTGATGAGTGTCAGATGAAGAAAACAGAGGATAAGGAGACATCCTCACATCTTCGATCTGGGTTCCACCAAAACTCAAATGAGCTTATTACTTTATGTGGTGCAGAAGTTGGTGAAACTACATTAGAATCCCAACGGAATGGAGATGTGCTGCCCCTAGTGGAATCCCATCACCGAACTAACATTCTCAATCTCGCTAACCAGGGTAACGATGTATTGCTTCGCCAACTAATGGGGGAGCAAGAAAGTGGAAGCATCGATATTGATCAGATTGCTGCACAAGGGATGCAGTGGTGGAAAAGACGTATGGACAAGATGAATCCGGAGGAGTTGCAACGATTCCATGCTGTGTTGGGGATTCTTAAGGAAAGGATGCAAAGTCATTTGCAACAACGGCTCAGAATTAGCGACTCTAATTCTGAGGCAGCAAGCACCTCTACCTCTAGTACTAGTACTAATGGTAGAGGTAGGCGCAGACGACGTTGATTATATTTTTCTTTTGTCATTTTGAATAAATTGTTGTAATTTACTTTCTTTTTAAGTGATTAAAAATTTGTAATTTTTTATTATTTAATAAAAATAAAAGTTTTTTATTTAAAAAAAGAGAGAAAAGGATTGTGAGCTTGAAAAATTACCAAAACAAACAAAAAACCTTATAAATTATTGCAAGTGATTTAGCTACTGAAGCATATGTCAAATTCAACTTGAACTTCTCTTCTCTTGTAATATGATTGAAATTTTTTTTTTCATTTTCAACCAAAAATATACTTCAAAAAATAATAATAATAATAACGAACCGGTTTGACATCGTAATACGATGATAGTTTCCTGCCTTAGCACCACATAAAGTAACAAGTTCACTGAGTTTTTGTAAACCCCACAACTAACAAGCGACATCTACGCTGCGCAAGATCGGACAATTTTGTAACTGAAGCGGTAGGACAATCGTGTAAATCCATAGCATCTTTCTTTCTTTAATCTACGAGAGTTCTTATATACGTCTTTTCTTTAAAACCTCACATCTGGAATCAATATGGGATCTAATGTTTGCAATGCTTGCAACAACTCTCTCATTATCATCGCATAAGCGAATGTAGGTCATTGTTATTTGTTAAGGCACCAGTTGCCCAAGTCACAACACAAGTCTCATCACATTACTGTTTTTTTTTTTTTTGGCCAACTCACAACATTACTTGAGAATGGGTTATTTGGTGCAACTTGTGTTTCTTTACAGATAATAATCGATAGCTTCATCAAAATAGGCTTTGTATTGCACCTTAGACTCTCAAGTCTCAAGTAACTTGGTTAATATCACTGAGATTTTTGGGCCTCTAGCTTTTGTGGTCGGGTCGGGCTTGACTTCCCCCACTCAACTCATCGGGAAAGCCCTTTGAATTTATTATTTGGGATTTTAATCGCACATTTATCTGTTTGTTGAAAACTGTTTGGTTTGGGCATAATTTGAGTACTGGACTTGTTTTTTTACTGTAAATTTTAGGCATTTTTTTTTATCATTTATTTATTTTACCTGCATGTTGTATAATTTATATTAAAAATATTTTATTTTTATTGAAAAAAATTATTACCATACTAATTACGCCAGTTGCACTTGAGTATTTGTTTCTTTTTGAAGTGACAACTTTATTGTTTTATTGTGCACCGCTTACTAGTTATTACAAATGTTATTTGTTTTTTGTTGTTTCTTTTCTTCTTTTTCTTTAGTTTTTCAATATCAAGATAAACATGTTTATTAAACTAGATAGTGATATTGCTCACACACAAACATACGTATTAAGCCTTATTTGAGATCTTTGTTAACCTTATATCCCTAGGAGAGTAGGAGTGGCATTCAGACTTCATGCCGCCCGCCCTGAACAAATGGGAGGCATGAGCTACGGTTCCCACACAAGAATGGCTGCATGAGCAATGATGATTTTTGTTCAGTCAACAAATGATTCTTTCCTTTCTCATGGTGGGCTCGATATTGTGGGAGTCTTATAGGTGCTTCAACGAATTTCGGCCCATGGTCAAGTGTGCTAGATTATCAGTAGTTTGTAGACGGCACTACAGGTCTGTGGTAAAATGGGCTAGAAAGGGCCCAAATTGACCACGGACACACTTTGAATTGGGCTTTTATGAGCCTTCTTCGTTTGCAGATATCGTATATCTATTTTCTTTTGCCAAAGAAAACGAACTGGCAAAAGTATTTTGTATTTTAGTGTGGATTTTAATTGCAAAGAATTCACTCTAAGTTCTTTTGGCCTTTGGCTTAAAGGTTGACTAAAATTAAAGTGCTAAAAATCCAATATGGCTATGTATTAATTTGAAAGGAATTTTCAAAATCGTAGTTCTTGTGATTCTTCTATCATGTATATACTGAAATAAAACCTGTGACTCTAATAAGAGAATAATTGTGGTTCTAGTCATGATTACATTTGAGATTTTCCATCTAAGCTCTTAATTAATTATAATGAAAGGATTTTTTTATTATAAAAAAATTCTAATTCTTGTACGTAAATGTTAATATAATCAAATTTTTTCTTCAAAAAATAAATAATCCATAATTTTCTTAATACTTAATTTCCAATCATCCACCGGCATGAGAAGTAGCCGAGAACATTCAACTCAGTTCATGGGAATGGCTTAAAAGTAAAAGGAAAGAACTGGGTAGTTTCCCTCACAGCACAGCAAGAAAAATGATTTTTGATGACAGAAATTTATGATAAATTTTAAAATCATCACTATAACTTATCATAATTATGACAAATCTAAAAAATTAGTCATAGAAATATACATATTTAATTATGAACAAAAAAATTCATCATAAAAAATATATTTTGTTACCGAAAAATATTCATAAATATAAAATAAGCTTTTGTTGATAAAAATCATCACTATAATGCATTACAATTATGACAAAATTTTAATATTGGTCACATATACCTTACACATTTAATGATGACCAAATAATTTAGCACTAAAAAATATATTTTGTCACTAAAAATTGTCAATTTTTTCTAATTAATGCATCCAACATCAATAAAAAACACATAAGAAAATAAAGTTTTGCACTATAAATATATCCCACATCAACAAAAAATATTTAAGAAAATAAAATTTTGCATTATAAAACATGTGAAACGCAATAAAACTTTAGATTAGTTTGGGCCTGATTAATTTTAATTGGACTTGATTAATTTTAATTGGGCTTGATTAATTTTAATCGGATTTGATTAATTTTAATCAAAATTGATTAGTATTGAAATAATAATATTTTTTATTAAACTTTT